GAAGCTAACAGAGTGTTGCGCAGAAGTGTGGTGGAGCGAATAACTCAAAGCACCCATCGACTCACCAAGCTGCAGAGTTTGTTCTCCCTCAGAGAGCTCCACTGGCCACAAGAACAGCCTCAGACCGCAGCGATCATATTCGGGCTGCGTGAGCCCTCTGCAATCAGGGCGAGGGTCTGGCTGCAGTGAGGCGGCAGAGCCGGGTTGCTCTCCTCTCCTGCGGTCGGAGATCAGCGGGGCTGGAAGTCTCCCAGCCCCGCCAACACGAACACACAGGGGGCAGACACTAAAGTTCAGAGAACTGAAATGGCTGAACATCAACGTGAGGCTGAGGCGTTTCCTGGAGCTAGCACTAGCTCTGACGCTCATGCTACCTCTCAATCAAATCTAATTTCAAGGATTTAAGGTCGACTTATTAAAAATATCCCCCCCCCCCCCCCCCCCCCACACACCTCAGGGTTGTCATGACAGTAAACTAGATCTACTTAAAATATTTTTTGAACCAGGCTGTAAACATGTTTATTTCTGCTGTGGCATTTTTAACAGTGGAGTCAATGGGAATGGGAACTTGCTCGTTTCTTATGTTTATGTTTATGTTTATGTTTATGTATTTAGCAGACGCTTTTGTCCAAAGTGACTTACAAGTGATAATCGGCATTTTGCCCTTGAGGCTAACAACAATAGTAACAACAAATTGACATCAGTCATGGAGAGGAGGGAACAAGGAGTGGACAGTAGAGAGGAGGGACGGGTGCAGACAAGGTGCTAGTTTAGAAGATGCTCTCTGAAGAGCAGGGTCTTCAGGAGTTTCTTGAAAATAGAAAAGGAAGCCGCAGTTCTGGTAGTGTTAGGAAGGTCATTCCACATTTGTGGAACGATGCATGAGAAGAGTCTGGATTGTCCTGAGCGTGGTGTAGGCACTGCTAGCCGACGATCCTGTGATGACCGGAGCGGCCGGGCCAAGACGTAAGCCTTTGCAAGAGGATTCAGGTAGATGGGAGCCGTACCGTCTCGGACTTTGTATGCTAATGTTAGCAGTTTGAATTTGATGCATGCTGCTAGTGGTAGCCAGTGGAGCTCAATGAACAGAGGGGTGACATGTGCTCTTTTTGGCTGATTGAAGACCAGACGCGCCGCTGCGTTCTGGACCATTTGAAGAGGTCTCACAGTACAGCCTGGAAGACCAGTTAGAAGAGCATTGCAGTAATCAAGGCGGGAGATGACAGTAGATTGCACCAGGAGCTGGGTGGCATGTTGTGTTAGGTATGGTCTGATCTTACGTATGTTGTAGAGCGCAAAGCGGCATGAACGGGCAACAGAGGCAACATGATCTTTAAAGGTCAGGTGTTCATCAATCGCAACACCCAGATTTCGAACTGCCTTTGAAGGAGCCAGAGATAGGAAGTCATTCTGGATTGAGATATTGTGCTGAATGGATGGTTTCCGTTTCTTGTGCCAACCCCTAGTGGATGGGAGTGGCACTGCATTTTTGTCACTTCCTTGTTGGCTTCAGAAAATTCAGACAAAGAAGTCCCTTGCCAACAAGTGAAAAAAGTGGTAAGGAAATGTACACTAACCTAAGGAACACCTGTTTAACCCCCTTAATGTAATTATCTAATCAACCAATCACATGGGAGTTGCTTCAGTGCATTTAGGGGTGTGGTCCTCTTCAAGACAATCTCCTGAACTCCAAACTGAATGTCAGAATGGGAAAGAAAGCTGATTTAAGCTATTTTGAGCGTGGCATGGTTGTTGGTGCCGGACAGGCCTGTCTGAGTACTTCACAATCTGCTCAGTTACTGGGATTTTCACCCACAACCATTTCTAGGGTTTACAAAGAATGGTGTGAAAAGGGAAAAACATCCAGTATGCAGCAGTCCTGTGGGCGAAAATGCTTTGTTGATGCTAGAGGTCAGAGGAGAATGGGCCGACTGATTCACGCTGATAGAAGAGCAACTTTGACTGTGTTGGGTATTTTTATAATTGTACCTTTTTGAGGCCTAAAAGATGCCCAATTTGTGTTATTAACACTTCATGAATCTCTGTGTTTGCCAACTGTGGCTGTTCATGAAAGGTTGAGCAGAGAAGCTCGTTTGCAGTCAAGGATGTTGATTGTGGATTTCCAGGATGTTGATTGTAGATTTCCAAGGAAACCTCTGTACCTCTGTAACCTGAGAAGGCCCCGCCTTCTCCATCCTTTGCTAAATAAAACCCCTGGCTAACTGAGAATACATGGGAGTGACGGGGGGAAAGCCTCGGAGGAGGTTTTTCCCTGCGTTAACTCTCCTTTATTTTGGGGACTCAGGGTAAAATGTCTTCCATGTTGTCAAGAGTGTTTATTTCAGGTTCCAGGGATATGGAGATTAAATATTACCTAACATTTAATTACCTAACATTTTGGTGGAGGATGCGGGCATGCAGAGCTGGTGAGCTGAAGGCTTTCCCCAGGAACAGAGGGGGGGCTGGTTAGCTCCATGGAGGGGTTTCTGCACCCAGCTCTCGCATGACGATTCATGGACATTACGAATAATAATAATCTTCTCTTTATCTGTGTGTGTCGTCCTTTATGGTAATATGGGATAAAATTACCTATCAGACTGAAACAACCACTCGTTACAACAGAGGAATGCAGAAAAGTATTTGTGAAGCCACGACACGCACAACCTTGAGGCGGATGGGCTACAACAGCAGAAGACCCCACCGGGTACCACTCATCTCCACTACAACGAGGAAAGAGAGGCTACGATTTGCACAAGCTCACCAAAATTGAACAGTTGAAGACTGGAAAAATGTTGCCTGGTCTGATGAGTCAATTATGTATTGGTGTGGCGGATGTGTTCTTGGCACACTTTAAGCCCCTTACCGCCAACTGGGCATGGTTTAACTGCCACGGGCTACCTGGGCATTGTTTCTGATCGTGTCCATCCCTTCATGACCACCATGTCCAGCAGGATAATGCACCATGTCATGAAGCTCCAATCATTTCAAATTGGTTTCTTGAACATGACGATGAGTTCACTGTACTACAACGGCCCCCACAGTCACCAGATCTCAGCCCGATAGAGCATCTTTGGGATGTGGTGGAACGGGAGCTTCGTGCCCTGGATGTGCATCCGACACATCTCCATCAACTGCAAGATGCTATCCTATCAATATGGGCCAACATTTCTAAAGAATGCTTTCAGCACCTTGTTGAATCAACGCCACGTAGAATTGAGGCAGTTGTGAGGGGGTCAAACACCGTATTAGTATGGTGTTCCTAATAATCCTTTGGGTGAGTGTAGCTTGTAACTTAAACTCACAGAATAAATCAGAATCTCTCAACTCTGCCTTCTCTGCAGCCTCAAAACCAAACCAGATCAATGGACCAACAGTTCTCTATAATAAAGAAATGAATAGTTTTAGGTTACATATTTGCTAAATCTCATTATTTACTTTAAACGTGCTGTATGAATTAACATTAGATCATGAGTAATAGCTTAATCACACACAATATGATGGACCGTTGCCTATAGCAACAACTTCAGCAGGGTGGATGACAGACAGGGTCGATTATGAAGTTGTTAATCTTTGGGATTTATTGGATCAAGAGTGACGAAGACACCTGCAGTCAATCAATCTATGTAATCTTCTCAAGCGAGCCTTTTGAAGCGTCACTTATCGCGCGCGCGCACACACACACACACACACACACACACGCATGCGCGCACACAAAAACACACACACACACTTTGAATGTCAGCTCTTTGTTCTTCAAAAAAAAAAGTATCAGACACACAACAGAAAAGTTAGAAATAACAACTTCACATTTAAAAACTTGTTCGACTTATAACTAAACAATATAATAACCACGCTCAGTAGGCCACCTGTTCTTTAAGCTCTATGGACTCCCCGCCGAGTTCTTTTCACCCCCTCTGTGACCCAGACCTGCCTGGGTAGATCAATGGAACAGCACGACGTTAGGTTTTTAATTGAGCTGTCCTGAAGGGCAGGGGCTGTTTTAATGAGCCCCTGGTCCTGTTTTCATCCTGACCTTTGAGGTTCATCACCACAGGCGTCCATCCTCCAACTTAAAAAGAACGTATGGGCTTGTAGGGTTACCCCAGAGGCTTTTGCCTCGCCACGCCTCGCTTGGATTGACATTTTCAGCTGGATCTGACACCTCTAAGCAGGCTTTTCTTATGTCATATGAAACATGGTGATCTATTTATTATCAGTTTAATGATGTTCTTTGATCATAGACCAGATGTGCAGGTTTGAACATGCACATCGTTTGCACCATCCAGGCATGTTCGGGGATGAATCTGGTTGGATCAGGAACCATTTATAACATTAACATCTGGTATTCATTAGAACATACTTGTTATCTTAATCCTTTTACCTTCAACCTGCATTTAAATTAATGTAATTTGGAACTTTTTTTACATTCGGTTATTTTATTTGCTCTAAATAATGGGAATCCAGTGTCCGCCAGTGTTTGGAGTCTTACTTCCTGATATTTGGACAACTCACCTCTGATTGGCTAACAACGCAATTCTACCACTGACTCCGTTTGCTCTGCAATGCTGATGTTTTATCTCCACAAATAACTCAAGCTTGGAGGACTTCTGCTGTGTTGTGGAGTTGCTAATGCTAACGGTTAGCTTCTACTAGCCGAGGTGTTCTCTGCTGCCTCCTGGACGCTAAACAAACAGCCTTCCCCGGTAGGAGCCAAGATGGCTGGGTGCATGAATGCTCGTTTACAGCCTGGCTTTTCTAATCGGCGGCTAATGCAGGAAATAGGGGCAAGGTGCGAGAGACGCACACATCTCACCATCTCATTTCTCAGGCTGAAAAGCAATAAGACCGATTATGCAAATGGTCTTGAGTATTGAAACTGAGTAACTACTACATGGATCCCAAAATACACAAATCCTCCTCAAAGTCAACAATCTGACAGTTTCATGATGACAAAAGTATTATTTCTTTGTGTGAAACGTTTATGAATAATGGAGTCTATAACTGATCAGAGTTGGTTTAATGAATTTAACACGTTCATTCCTCTGGCTGTACAGCAGTAGCGTTTTATGACAAATCAGTCAAACTTACAAACATTTGACTCTTAAAAAACCTGCAAGTCAAAATTCATTTTACTCCTCTGGACTTTAAAACCAAGTCTGTGTTTTTAGCGGAACAGGAAGTGTTTTTCTTTATGCATCATCCTCAAAGGCAGCAGCAGTCGCTCACCGTGTCCCGCCTCTACACCGTTTAGTGCTCAGAAATCTTTTGGCAGGTCTCACACAATCAATGCAATTACGCCCGTTGGGGAAAACTGAGTAGAGGCATGAGATATTTTCCTGTGTGTGAGACAGCTGTATTGATTGAAACAAATGTGTGTCCCTTCCAGCTGTCACACACAAACCAAGACGCTGCAGCTAAAACTCTTAAATGTGGAGTTCAAACGAGACTTGGAACTAAAAAGAAAACACTCGGTGGCGTTCGAAACACTTCAGACAAAATACTACGGCTCTGGTAAACTTGCTTTTTATGACAGCATTAAGCTAATTCAGCAGCATCTTGCTTTCCTGGAGAAGGTAAATGAGTGAGTGAGTGAGTGAGTGAGTGAGTGAGTGTCTGCTCAGAAGTACATGTCCTGGAAGAGGTTTTGTCCCATCTCGATGTACGCCTCCTTCTCCTGCACAGACATCTGCTCCACCAGCTCAGGTCTTTGGCTCACCTCCCTGCAGGAGAACGGCCGACCCCCCACCATCACCATGGGCTCATCCCCCACCTCCTCAAAGTCGTCTTCATCCTCCTCGTCTTCTTCAGCACGGCGCTGAGAGGCTGCAGCAGCTGGAGGGCCCGGGGGAAACTCGTCATCTGATTCACTGGTGTCGCTCTCCGAGTCACTAGCATTAGCTTTAGCGGAGGCGAGACCCCTGACAGCAGAGCTGGCTCCGCCCACACCTGCCCCTGTGACAGCCCTCTTCTCGTGGATGAGCAGGGCGCGCATCACTTCCTCATTTTCATCGGCTTGACCTGTTCCATGACCCGTCATTCCATCCTGGGCTCCAGACATCACCTCTCCACCTGTGGAAACAGAATGACTCATTAAAAATGGAACACTCCCCGGGAGCTGAAGGTTTATGACATAAAGAACTGATGAGTCTTACAGAATTTACTTCTGAGATGAACTTTAAAGTAGGAAAACAACAAGCTCCAAAGAGAGTATTCACCAAACTAAATGAACTAAACCTTGAGTTTTTACCATCCCAGATTTTGTTTAGCTGGTAATTAATTTGCATTCATAAACACCCAATTAGATTATTTTATTCTGTCACTCTAAATAAAGTTCCCAGTGTCACTGGACTGAAAACATCCCAGCACATCTTCCATGGTGCAGCTGCTGACGGCGCCTTAAAGAGCAAGTCACCCCCTACCAGAGTCTAACTCCACTCTCACTTCATGTTTAAAAAATGCAACAAATGCTGTTGCCTGGCAGACCGAGAGGGCGGAGCCGCTAACAAATACACACACACACAGGTTCACCACAGCATTGTGACATCATGATATACCAGTTTACATCATAGCATACCTCTTAGCCAATAGCGGTGGCAGATTTAAATTCAAATACAATGCAGAGTTTTTACCTGACAACGGCACAACACTGCTAGTTTTAGGCAGCATATTTAAATTTTAACTAAGATGCACTGAAGTGCCAAATTATTGACTACACGCATCTGCAGCACAATTAGACACTCGTTTATTTAGTTTATCAGGGGAAAAAAAGTTGATTTGGGGGTGACTTGCTCTTTAAGTCTTCTCCGTATAATTCCGTCGTGTTCAGCGGGGTCGTGTCACATTTAAACATCAGGACACAGGCATGGGTCATGTTTGAGCATCTCCCCCCCAACAGGGCACACTTCTTTCAAACACATGCAAACTTGTTTAGGAGAAAGGATGTTTAGAAGACATAGAGCATGTAATTTCCGCTAGTATTAATCTCCTAATAGGACGTCCTTGCTGAGCCACAGACTAATCAAGTCTGATTATTTCAATTAATTATGGAACAATGAAGGTCTGGCCAGGCCTGATTGCCACATGCCCTTGGTAAAGGAAACAATGCCAGCCTGACATAGGTTGCTGAAGCACCCCTCTGATGGAGGGAGACAACTTTAGCGTAACCTACTATTGTCTTTCTGCTTTTGTGACCTTTAACCCCTGTTCTCTTTGTAGGAATAACAAAAAGGTATGTTTTCTGGGTTGTTGTAGCTGTCCACGTCATCCACCCTGTGGTCTGCTCTTGGCCACTGAGCAAGGTGTTAACTAGGAACTAAATGATAAATGGTTAAGAGTCTGAGTCAGTTTTTTTTTTATGTGTTTGGTGAAAATGTCTGTAAAATAATGTTTTTAGTAGAGAATAAACACACAAACGTGACCAGAGACGAAAACACAGCGAGATCCTTTAGGCTTGTTTGTAAATTGTTTGTTTGGCACACAGCTCATGAAAACCCAAAATTCCTCTTTAAAAAAAATGCATATCATTAAAAGGTTCTCTAAACGAGCTATTAACCTAATCATCTGAATCAACTAATTAACTCGAAACACCTGCAAAAGATTCCTGACACTTTTAAAAACTCCCAGCCTGGTTCATTACTCAAAACCACAATCATGGGTAAGACTGCTGACCTGACTGCTGTCCAGAAGGCCATCATTGACACCCTCAAGCAAGAAAGTAAGACAAAGGAAGAAATTTCTGAACGAATAGGCTGTTCCCAGAGTGCTGTATCGAGGCACCTCAGTGGGAAGTCTGTGGGAAGGAAAAAGTGTGGCAGAAAACGCTGCACAACCAGAAGAGGTGACCGGACCCTGAGGAAGATTGTGGAGAAGGACCGATTCCAGACCTTGGGGGACCTGCGGAAGTAGTGGACTGAGTCTGGAGTAGAAACATCCAGAGCCACCGTGTACAGGCGTGTGCAGGAAATGGGCTACAGGTGCCGCATTCGCTAGGTCAAGACACTTTTGAACCAGAAACAGCGGCAGAAGCGCCTGACCTGGGCTACAAAGAAGCAGCACTGGACTGTTGCTCAGCGGTCCAAAGTACTTTTTTCGGATGAAAGCAAATTTTGCATGTCATTCGGAAATCAAGGTGCCAGAGTCTGGAGGAAGACTGGGCAGAGGGAAATGCCAAAATGCCTGAAGTCCAGTGTCAAGTACCCACAGTCAGTGATGGTCTAGGGTGCCATGTCAGCTGCTGGTGTTGGTCCACTGTGTTTTATCAAGGGCAGGGTCAATGCAGCTAGCTATCAGGAGATTTTGGAGCACTTCATGCTTCCATCTGCTGAAAAGCTTTATGGAGATGAAGATTTCATTTTTCAGCATGACCTGGCACCTGCTCACAGTGCCAACACCACTGTGCTCAATTGGCCTGCCAACTCTCCTGACCTGAACCCCGTAGACAATCTGTGGGATATTGTGAAGAGAAAGTTGAGAGACGCCAGACCCAACAATCTGGATGAGCTTAAGGCAGCTATCGAAGCATCCTGGGCCTCCATAACACCTCAGCAGTGCCACAGGCTGATTGCCTCCATGCCACGCCGCATTGAAGCAGTCATTCCTGCAAAAGGATTCCCGACCAAGTATTGAGTCCATAACTGAACATAATTATTTGAAGGTTGACTTTTTTTGTATTAAAAACACTTTTATATTATTGGTCGGATGAAATATGCTATTTTAAGAGATAGAAACTTTGGGTTTTCTTGAGCTGTATGCCAAAATCATCAATATTAGAAACAATAAAAGACTTGAACTACTTCAGTTGTGTGTAATGAATCTAATATATATGAAAGTCTAATGTTTATCAGTACATTACAGACAATAATGAACTTTATCACAATATGCTGTTTTGAGAAGGACCTGTACTTTGCTGTCATAAGTAAAAAATATGCCAATTGTTTTCCTTGAAGTAATACTTAAATAAAACCGATTTAGCAGGAGGCCGCCATTGTTATTTGCTTCCCAAAGCATTCTGGGAAGTGACCCGCGCACACAGAAGCCGCGATCAGACAGAGATGCACAGAGCTGCGGGAAGCTTGTGGAGCTCTGGGATGGAAACCTTTCCAGCCGGTTCTCCCCAGCGGCAGCTCTGCGCATCTCAGATCGCAGCGGCGCTTGTCTGCTGTGCGACTGCCGGCTTGTGGAGGTCTCGGAGACCTCTGTGTTCCACCTGGTTTTACCCAGCGGTCAGCCCGCCGTATCTCTGACTCAGAAGCTCTGGTGTTGTGCACAGTTAACTCCGGTTGTAGCTAGGTTTCTACCTCTGTTAGCTTAGCTCCCACCTCCGCGTTAGCTTTGGATTAGCTTCAGGTTAGCTTGTAGCTAGTTCGACCGGGTGTCGTCAGTGGATCCCAGCCTTACAGCCCCACCCTCAGCTCCACCTCTCTTCCCTTTTATGGAATTGTCTGGGCTTGACGGAACCTGTGACACGGTCAAAATGGCGGTGGTGGCCACCTCCCATTTTAGCACAAAAACATGTTACTGGAAACCCATTGTCCATATATGTATGTCGATGGTCGGAACGAGCCCCCGTACCGTGAGAACAAACACCTCAGCTCTAAAGCCGATCTTCATCCACATACGTCACGTGATCAGGAAGCAGAAAATCCATGTGTTAGGAGATCGTTTTGGGCCGCTTCTGTAAAAAAAAGGTGAGGCGCGAACTGGAAAAGCTTCTGCCGATCCCAATTCAACAACGGATTATGAAAGAACGGATAACGCTCGAAGCGCGCAGATTCTTCCTGATATAAGAGGTGAGTCTCCCCTTTGTTTTGGTTGTTTTGGCGTCAACATCATCTTAGCGCGCAACGTTCTGTGACTCTTTAAAAAAACTGTAAAAACGTCGAGAAACACTGGCAGCGAAGGGCTTTACCGATCAGGAAACGGCTGGCAGCGAATGAGTTAATGGTCAGACGCTGACACCTACATGTGAGCATGCCTTGTCTTTTTCCTGCGAAGTTTAAACTCAAAGAGGTCTAAAAACAACGTAAACATCCGTTCTGGGTAATATGTAAATGACCCTGAGTGACTGAAGTGAAATCGATCAGCCTGAGAAAATAAATAAAACTAGACTCTTCGCGTTTTCATTCTAGATTAAAGCAGTTTCTCAACTTTACGGATTAAAACTGGTTATCAGATCAAAGATTACAAAAAGCTACATGTCCGATTTAAACAATAATATATTGTAACGGTATGTTGAAACGTTGCTGTTCTACTCACAGGTCTTGATGGAGTCCAGCTCATTGTAAGCACCCTGAACTGTGCTCTGGGTCAACCAGATGGGCTGTTCCTTAGGTGCTTTGTCCCGATTGATCTGCTTCTGTTGATCATTCTGCTCCTCCATATTGATGACCACATTCTGTGTGTACAAGTCAGCGTAAGCCGATCCTTTGTTTGCCCAGGCTTCCCGATGCGGTCCGCCCTCTGGGTTTCCAGAGGCTGTGGCACGTTCTCTACTAGAAACAGAAATATCTCATAACATAGACATCTGACAAAAACGATGTGAACATTTTTGTTTTAGAATATAAAACATCATTGAGAAGAAACAAAGCAAAAGTGGGCTTCATTAAATGACCCAGAAAGGCGTTTGTGTTGCAGCGAGACATGTTGGGAACTGACCGTTTGAGAGCAGGGATCTCTGTGGGCTCGGGCTCCAGCAGATCATGAGACAAGTTGATGTCTTCAGTTTTACTTAAGAGTTGATAGATGGGCTCGATTTGCTCATTGAAGCGGGCCACCAGCGTCCTGCCAGCAGGACACACAGACGCATCTTCTTCCACCTCAGTCTGGCAAAATGTGCAGCGAAAAGTACCTGTGGGTAAAAAACCCACCAAAACACACCTCAGGCTGAGTTTGTTTACATTATAAATACAGGTCCTTCTCAAAAAATTAGCATATCGTGATGAAGTTTATTATTGTCTGTAATGTACTGATAAACATTAGACTTTCATATATATTAGATTCATTACAAACAGCTGAAGTAGTTCAAGTCTTTTATTGTTTCTAATATTGATGATTTTGGCGTACAGCTCATGAAAACCCAAAATTCCTATCTCAAAAAATTAACATATCATTAAAAGGTTCTCTAAACGAGCTATTAACCTAATCATCTGAATCAACTAATTAACTCGAAACACCTGCAAAAGATTCCTGAGGCTTTTAAAAACTCCCAACCTGGTTCATTACTCAAAACCGCAATCACGGGTAAGACTGACGACCTGACTGCTGTCCAGAAGGCCATCATTGACACCCTCAGGCAAGAGGGTAAGACACAGAATTAAATTTCTGAACGGATAGGCTGTTCCCAGAGTGCTGTATCGAGGCACCTCAGTGGGAAGTCTGTGGGAAGGAAAAAGTGTGGCAGAAAACGCTGCACAACCAGAAGAGGTGACCGGACCCTGAGGAAGATTGTGGAGAAGGACCGATTCCAGACCTTGGGGGACCTGCGGAAGCAGTGGACTGAGTCTGGAGTAGAAACATCCAGAGCCACCGTGTACAGGCGTGTGCAGGAAATGGGCTACAGGTGCTGCATTCCCCAGGTCAAGACACTTTTGAACCAGAATCAGCGGCAGAAGTGCCTGACCTGGGCTACAAAGAAGCAGCACTAGACTGTTGCTCAGTGGTCCAAAGTACTTTTTTCAGATGAAAGCAAATTTTGCATTTCATTCAGAAATCAAGGTGCCAGAGTCTGGAGGAAGACTGGGCAGAGGGAAATGCCAAAATGCCTGAAGTCCAGTGTCAAGTACCCACAGTCAGTGATGGTCTAGGGTGCCATGTCAGCTGCTGGTGTTGGTCCACTGTGTTTTATCAAGGGCAGGGTCAATGCAGCTAGCTATCAGGAGATTTTGGAGCACTTCATGCTTCCATCTGCTGACAAGCTTTATGGAGATGAAGATTTCCTTTTTCAACACGACCTGGCACCTGCTCACAGTGCCAAAACCACTGGTCAATGGTTTAATGACCATGGTATTACTGTGCTCAGTTGGCCTGCCAACTCTCCTGACCTGAACCCCGTAGAGAATCTGTGGGATATTGTGAAGAGAAAGTTGAGAGACGCAAGACCCAACACTCTGGATGAGCTTAAGGCCGCTATCGAAGCATCCTGGGCCTCCATAACACCTCAGCAGTGCCAAAGGCTGATTGCCTCCATGCCACGTCGCATTGAAGCAGTCATTTCTGCAAAAGGATTCCCGACCAAGTATTGATTGCATAACTGAACACAATTATTTGAAGGTTGACTTTTTTTTTATTAAAAACACTTTTATATTATTGGTCGGATGAAATATGCTAATTTTTTGTGATAGGAATTTTGGGTTTTCATGAGCTGTATGCCACAATCATCAATATTATAAACAATAAAAGGCTTGAATTACTTCAATTGTGTGTAATGAATCTAATATATATGAAAGTCTAATGTTTATCAGTACATTACAGACAATAATGAGCTTTATCACAATATGCAAATTTTTTTAGAAGGACCTGTGTAAGAGAGTACTGCAATGCCAATCAGCAGCTAATCAAGGCTAACAGAAATTAATATAAATGTATATTTTGTTTTGCCCAACTGAATTGAGCTTCTGCCAATAATAATTTTTTAGGCGAGGCCGAAGCCAACAGCTTGCATTGAGAATCGCCCCGTTTGCTATGATAACAAAACATGAATAAAAGTCACTGTAAAGTCCACAACATCCTCTTTCAAACCTTAAGTCAAAACAAATCATGGCAGGAAAATTTGTTCTGCATTACTTTTCCAAGTAAATATAAATGGTGAAGAGAAGAAACTGAAAGGCAAAAGGAAATGAGTTCAAAAACATGTTTTGCCCCTATAATGATGATAATGATGTGAAATGTGAAAATTTAGAGTCGCTGGGTTCTGGTTCTCCTTTGTGTGTCAGATTGAGCTGGAAAACCAGCGGTGTCATTTCCCATCCTTATGAGTTCACACTGAGTGTTACTGGTCCCATGGAGGCAATCAGCACACCAGACTAGTGTCAGATCCTAGTGCTGGGTTTGACAGGCTCTGCAAGGTGACTCAGAAACTGTCCTCGAAGCAGCAACATACACCAATTAAGTCTTTTAAAAAGTCAGATGCAGAGATTTTTGCAAGATAATTGTAAATCTATCGTCATGAATATTAGAATTTTTTACATCAGCTATGAAGACTGACTCACACAGACAACTGCTGCTTTTTCGCAAAGTAAAAAAATAAAAAACTCAATGAAAAGTTGATCAAAACGAATCAAGATTTTGGAAAGTGTTTTTGATTTGTGACAAACGGCTTTAATTACATCAAAGACCCTTCTGGTGCAGCAATGTTCACCACACCCAGAATTTTTCATGAATTTCATAAAAAAAGAAAAATTTTCTTTAAAAAAGCATCCACTGTTGGTACATTTCCTTTTTACCATGTTGCTGTTAAGAGGAAATTTGATCAATTTGGGAGAAAAATCCTCTTTGACCTTCTTAAGTAGTTTGACATGCTTTGTAAAAAGAATGCTTTTTATCTATTTATTTTAAGAAACACAAGGACACTTTATAGCCAAAAACACAAAGAAACTAGGTTAAAAACAGCAAAAAATACAAAGGAACATTAAAAATACTAACTAGATAATAACATCAGGGCAGTTGGAAATAAGTGAGTTTTTTAGGCCTAGTCCACACGTAGCCGTTTTTTTTAAACGAATATCCGCCCCTCCAAAAACTTGCATCCACACCACCTCATTTAAAAAAAAAAACTCTGTCCACACGTACCCGGATAAATACGTTGTTAAGGACATGCCAGACCTGTAGGCGGCAGTACTTCCCCCGTTCTTAACCTCGTCCTTCGTCTGTGGTCTTCTGCAAGGATCAGTAATTCCACTTGCAAAAACAAACAAGCAAAAAGCGCTTGGACAATTGATGGATCGGGTAGTGACAGAGCGCAGCTCTGAGGGCATCCATGCTGTCGGCTAGTGTAAACACAGGTCGCACACGTGATGTCAGCATTTTTTGTCGCGGAAAGTGACGTTGCAGACCTTAAAACTCCGGTTTTGTCTGTCCACACGCAGACACCCAAAACGGAGAAAACGCAGATCTTCACTTTGGCCGGAGTTTTTAAAAAGATCCGTTTTTGTGTGAAAAAACTCAGTTTTCGTGTGAAAAAACTCTGTTTTCGTGTGGATGACAGGCCAAAACGTAGAAAAATATCTACGTTTTGGCAGATCCCGGCTACGTGTGGACAGGGCCTGAGTCTAGGTTTAAAGGTGGAGAGCAAGTCAGTTACAGACGGCTTGAGGGAGAGAATTTCAGAAATGAGTAGAACAGATGAAGCTCTGCTCCCCATAGTGCTGAGACAGAATGAGGGAACAGAAGCGGAAGATCTGAGGGAATGAATGGGAGAGACGATGTGAATGAGGTCAGACAGGTATGGGGCAAAGGTTATGGATGGCTTTAAAGGTGAGAAGGATTTTGAATTCAATGTGTTAACAGGAAGCCAGTAGAGCTGCTGGAGGACAGGGCTGCGTGCAGCTGAGTTCTGCACCAATTGGAGCTTATTTTCATTCAGACATAATTTAAAGTTTGTATGTAAAGTTTAATAGCTCCGTTCATTAAAACAATGTACTAAATATTTAAAAAATGGCTTTGTACATGAACTTGATTTAGTAAATGCATTTGCCTTCACTGCCATCTAGAGGCAAATTGCTCAGAATGCAATCAAAATAATCAAACTGCAAACCATTTGATATTTTATATCAATATTCAGTGAACAGATTTGGCTTGATTTTAGCTTGAATATTTACCAGAGTTTCCTAGAAGATTTTCACAAAACTACCAAGAAAAAAACATTTCTGAGCTTAATGAAAACAATGAACATGATTATTCATGAGAGCGTACCCGTCATAGGATCAAACAGCTGATTCGCCTCCAGGTCAGTGAACGTAGAGAAGCAGCAGGGGCACCTAAAGGAGGCCCGGTTAGTAGAGTCTCGCTCATCCGTCTCGATGCGTCTTCGCATGTGATCCAGTTTGTACTTTACAACATTGACCAATAGCCTAAATAAAATAAAAAAACACTATATTTATAAATCCAACATATGTCAAGTTAAATAAAAAAAATCTTAAGGAATCCTAAAACCTGTAGTTGATAAAATAGTAGTTGTGTCGCGTTGTTTTGCCATCAGGGGCCGTCTCCACTCTCATGCGGCACTTTACAAATTTGTCTGATTTCAGAGTGTTGAGCACAGAGCGCAGCTGTTTCCGGTCAAACTTGAGCAGCTCCAGCATGTCCTCCTCCCGCACACAAGGGTTGCGAATGAGCACATCCAGGGCCAAGGCATGCTCTACACCATAAAATCCCCTCACAACCTGCTTAGCTAGCCTCTTCAGTGAAGCAGGGACCTCGGTTAGAAGCTCTGGCTCAATCATCTTGGGCTGTGGAGGGAAACGCAAATATTAAAACTGCTAATGAGTTGTTTTCTTGGGCACATAAACAAAAAGATGGTGCTTTTTCAGGAGAAAGAATAAGTCAAATGTGTGACTGTTCATCCACATGGTACTCACTCCCTTTATGATGAAAATGTGATGTCAACCGTTTGCAAGTTCAATAACAAGCAAATTAACCATTAAACTCCTACGGATAGCCAAAAATATTATAAACACGGCTCCAAATATAAAACACTGATAATGTCCCTGATAGAATAAAATCGAAATTAACCAACAAATTAAATTAAAAGTGCCAGCATGATCCATCTGCTCACTAAAATAAAACTGATCAAAGCTTTATTTCATTCAGTATTTTCCCCATATTGAGGTTTAAACATATAAATTACCTTAATACGTGATGAATGGATTCAAGCTTTTGATATTCCCCAATTTTTGCACAACATATACAAAACTAGAGGCATTTTCACCAATAACTTTATTACCTTAACGTTAAGCAACTAACAAAAGCGTCATAGTGATAAAAAAACAGCTAAATGACCGTGAAACTAGTCTGTGCCTAACTATTTAACTTTAGACTCTCCACACAAAAGCTCGTGAATGTTAACATTTCAAGTTTCCTAGCCTTGAATTCTAAACCAAAGGTAGCAGCCAGACTAGCTTCAAGCTAGCAGCCACCAAGTCTTACCTGTATTCCTTCTGTTCCACCCCGGATACTTGAACCGCTCCTTAACTCATTTCAACCTGATGTTTACTACTAGTAACTTGCCACAACTAAAAGTTACAGAAAACTTTAGCAAACTTGGATTTTCTTTGAACGTCAAGCTAGCTACCTTGATAATCAACGAGTTGTCTCGCGCTTACCGGAACAGGAACCAGAGGGTTTCTTGAGTGACGTTAAATTTGACCAATCCCGATATCCAGAAATTAGTCTTCTGGGAGGGGCTTAGATGTTGTTGTACCGGTTCACTCTGACGTTAGCAAAAAAAATATGGCGTCTCTTGACAGGGTTAAGGTACTAGTTTTAGGAGATTCTGGTAAGTTTCTTAAGTAGTTTACCTATTGACCCATCACATATTACACTTTTGTACATTTAAAAATGCGTCTTTAATATTAATGCGTTTCTTTCATTTGTAAATATCTTAGAGGCTGAAATTATCGAGTTAAAATCGTCAATCATGACTTAGCTGTGCTGCAAAACAAAAATTCGGGTAATTCAAAACGCATCATAAACTCATTATTATTTTTGATGAAATAACGGATTAAATCCAAAGAGCTTCCGTTAGATTACTGGCCAAGTAAAGGACATTTGTTTGCAAGAAGACACTTAGTTCGAGATAAATCAAGTGAAACGGAGCCAAGTGTTTGGGAAATGTGCCCAAATTAAAGGCAAACTCAGTCAGACTCTTTAAAATAAAAAAATAAAGAAAAACGAGACGTTATTTTAAAGTTACAAACGAGTTAATTTGTGATAGACGATGTTTCAAAGCAAGATGCTTCAAAGAAAGCACAACATTTGTTTTAGTGTTATTATATTTGGTTCAGTTTTTAAATGCCTTTGGATGGTCATACGTTGGAAGGATTTACTATAAATATTATTTTATTTAAACTTAATGTTGTCTTAGTCCGTCATGATGTATTTGTTGATAGTTCTTAGCAAACTGGATTCTTAAACACACTCAAAACTAATACAGGAAACTGCCACAGGAGTTGTTGGTTTGTGTCAGCTCTGTTCTCACATATTTGTCTTTTTTAGGCGTCGGCAAGAGTTCCTTAGTTCATCTTCTGTGTCATAATCAGGTTTTAGGGAACCCATCTTGGACTGTTGGCTGCTCTGTGGATGTACGGGTAAGCTCATCTGTATTTCTTTAGTTCAGTCAACTTTTGCATAGTGGTTGTGTCAGCGTCAACAAAAATAATCTGTATTTTCCCTTGTTAAATTTACCTCAGTGGTTTATTCTGTCATCACACAATAATCCAGTTGTAATAGCTGCTTTATTCCAGTACAGTTGGTTAATTTTAACATATCAATTTGTCGCTGGTATAATGCAGATTTATGACATTTGTTCACTTATAGATTCATGACTACAAAGAGGGAACCCCCGAGGAGAAAACCTTCTATATTGAACTTTGGGATGTTGGAGGATCTGTTGGCAGCGCAAGCAGTATCAAAAGCACAAGAGCCGTCTTTTACAATTCTGTTAACGGTACAGGAGGTACACTTACAAGTTTAAACAAAACAGACATCGCAAGTAGTTTAAAAATTGTGTTTTTTTTGTTTTTTTTTTTTCTAGGAATTGTTTTGGTGCACGATTTGACAAATAAGAAATCCTCCCAAAACCTCTATCGTTGGTCACTAGAAGCTTTAAATAAGGATTCCTCCCCAACTAGAGTCATTGTGTCAAATGGGTCAGTTTTCACTACACAAGGACTGAAACACTCAGTTTTGTCAACAGTACAGCTAACAGGATGTAGGTGTGTCTTTATCTTGTTTCAAATTTCTGGATGCAGAGAGTACGACAGAGAGCAGTTTGCTGAGAACCCGGTGCCGTTGCTCCTGATCGGAACAAAGTTCGATCAGATTCCAGAGAACAAACGCAGTGAGGTTCTCACCCGGATGGCCTTCCTCTCTGAGGATTTTAATGCTGAGGAGATCAATCTGGTTGGTGTTTTTCCATGATGTAAATACAAAATGTTTGGGCTTTGTGTTTGAAGTTATTCCTCGTTTTTCCAGGACTGCACAAACCCAAGGTACCTGGCTGCAGGCACCTCAAACGCTGTGAAACTTAGCAGGTTTTTTGACAAGGTGAGAATCCTGATGGCTGCTGTGTAGGGCTGCAACAACGAATCGATAAATTCGATGAAAATCGATTACTAAAAGCGTTGGCAACGAATTGCGTCATCGATTCGTTGTGTCGCACAACTCTTCCAAAAGCGCCCCCCCCCCCTTCCCGAATCCCGCCCGCCGTTGCGCGCAGACCAGAGCAAGTCAGATCAGCTCGAGGGAGAGCCGCAGATCAGCGCGAGGGAGAGCCGCAGATCAGCGCGAGGGAGAGCCGGCAGATCAGCGCAAGGGAGAGCCGCAGATCAGCGTGAGGGAGAGCCGGTAGTGGCAGATCAGCGCGAGGGAGAGCCGCAGATCAGCGTGAGGGAGAGCCGGTAGCGGCAGATCAGCGCGAGGGAGAGCCGGCAGACTTGCGCTGCTGCGAACCGGTTCCGCATTGTTGCACAGCGATCCAGGCAGCTGCTTCCAGCGCATGGTCCATTCTCAAAGTGGCGCAACCAAAAAACTATAATTAGCTCACGATCGTTCTTGTCTGCACATCTTCTCTATTTTCTGTCTTATTTGTGCCTGAAGCTCGCTACTGCGGAGCTCATCACCTGTGCTGTGGTGATGTCACCTCACTGACGCAGCATCGAAAACGCGCTCTGCGCTTTTCGGTCAGGAGATCCCTTTGATCTGCTCAAAAGTAACTGATGAGGTGAAAAGGTAAGAATCCAGGCAACAGATTTTCTGGAGAATTAAGAGGAGATGCAGGAAGATGAGAGACAGACAGGACAGGAAAATAGTTCAATAAAAACAAAAAAACAATCAATCAATCAATCAATCAATCAATCAATCAAAGCTTTATTTATAAAGCGCCTTCCGCAACCCTGTCAGGAAGCCCAAAGCGCTGAAAGTGAAACAAAGCGCTGAAAACAAAGTGTTGAAAAGTAAAATGTAGGTAGATTTATCACCACTACACGTTTTTACCTATAAAAAACAATAAGTTATACACATGTCATATTTATACATCTGATACAATTCAGATCACCTTCAAAACTCAGTCACACACCCAGGGCCGTTTCAAGACATTTTGGGGGCCAAGGCAAAATGCCCCCCCCCCCCCCCCCCCCCCCCCCAATAACTGGGCTCCCCAGAAGCCTCTGTAATTCATGCCCTCTCCAGTAGTGTTAGTTACATGGTGTTTATAAAAGCCCCTCAGACATTACTGACATGTTCTAATATTATCAGATGAAAAACTAAATTATCAGATATGCTGTCTCATCTGCTTCTTTTATAAACTTGCAAAAAGTAACAAAACCATTTGAAAGCCACTATTTGTGGATTCTCTGAAAGTTTCCATGGAGTGTGTGACAACTTATTTTTTCATTGATCCTATCGTCTAATCTCACAGCTGAAACAAGCATCCTTAATAATCTGTGCACAGGAAGCGTACCGATGCTGTAGTAAAACAAAAGGTATAATAATTTATTATTAATAAAACCTTGTTGCAGAACTAAAGCAGAAAAATTTGATTTTGCATTAAATATGCTAAATATTTATATATGAATTGTTTTAGAGCCCTTTAATTGGCAGAATCTGATATTAATTTAGTTCTTACAAAAAATGGGTCCCAACATGGTTTGTGTGGCGTTGCCATAGTGTGACGTCATAGGCACAGATCCCCTGTCCTCTTGTTTGGAAATGGAAATATGGTCACCCTACATTAAACAAACTGTCCACCCGGGCTTTTGCGCTGCACAGAGACGCTTCGCTGCCTACGACTGAACGTCAGTTGAGAGTCAGTCTCATGCAGAATGACCAATGAAGAGAGGGCCTCAAGTTAAGACCCTCTCCTCATTGGTCAGTCCACACGAGGTGGGTCAAAGGTTACTCTGGGCGGGTTACGTGTTGTCAGGCATTCAAGTATTGAGTATATTTACTGCATATTACAGTAAAATATTCTGTATGTGACCACATTATGGTGATCCTCGGGTCGTGATGATGGAGCCCTTGAATATTGTTGCCCAGGGTACAACAAAGTGTTAATCTGGCCCTGGTTCCGCCGTCACATTCCCGCAGAAACTGGTTGATCACACCGGGGCCAGACTACTAGCATGTGGTTTTACAACCACAATGTCCTCAGAAGCAAAAACGCTTTTAAAAGGGAGGGAGGAGTCCTAACTGTTGCTGCAGGCGTGTTGTGTGAGAGTGCAGTTATATACTGGTTAATATATTTTTGGGTTCAGTTGCTTTCATGTGGCCTAATGTGAGTCTATTTGGGATCATTGGAATGATCAGCAGCATTTCTTGATGTGACTTTATAGCAGTTGCCCAGGGCATCATCGCAAGGAGGATGGCATTCATTTACTTTTGTTTTATTTGGTATTTTTTCAGTCATTTTTGGAAATAGTGATCAATTTTGATTAATTCACAGCCTATGTTTAATTACATTTAAAATATATGTCAACAGATGAGATCAAACAAAACAGATGAGAATTGCCCTTAAGCTGTTTAACTTGGACCAAGCATTTTAGGTCACAGATAGATGTAGCTTAGGGTCTCTGTCTATACACCTTATAAGACAATTTAGGTGATGGCATGTTGTTTTTCTGCTATTGAACTGTTTTCTAATAATGTTGTGTTAAATATAAGTGAAGGAAGGAGAGAAATAACGTTTCCCTAGCAGTTTTTAAAAATTTCCCCATGTAATCCGATTAATCGATTAATCGTGTCGAGACCCCATCCGATTAATCGATTATCCAAATAATCGTTTGTTGCAGCCCTACTGCTGTGAGTTGGCAGGTTGTGTTTGGGTCAGTCCTGACTGTCAAACTGATGATTCTCAGTGTTTACTTCTGGCTGCTGCGCTGTTCCTCAGGAAACAAAATGTTCAGATCAAACCTACTAGGGAGTGCTTATTAAAAGATTAGTTTAAAATACAAAAATGAAACTGAAAAGCAATCAATGCTGTTTATTTTCAGACAGCGTGCTGTTTCATACCATCTATACGCAGACGACTGTCAAATCTATTTTTCACTTAAACCCACTGACTCCACTAAACCTCTGTTTGATTGTCTTCACGATGTCAAGCAATGGCCGGCTGATAACTTCCTCCATCTGAACGACTCTAAAACAGAGCTAATCGTTTTTAGTCCCGACAATGTTAGAGCAACCCTGGAATCTGGCCTCCACTATCTGTCTCCTAATGTTACTTCTGCTATTTCCAACCTTGGAATAAAAAGACCTGAAGATGCATGCTCAGGTCCGTAGGGGAATTTCTAAACTAAAGCCCATCCTGAGTGTCCGTCTTCTACAATCTATGATTCACGCCTTCATCACTTCTCGGCTTGATTATTCCAACTCCTGCTTGTACGGCATCAGTAAAGCTGCTATGTCTAGACTTCAGCTTGTCCACAATTCAGCAGCGAGGTTCCTGACTGGAGCTGACAGAAGACAGCACATTACGCCCACTCTTAAATCCCGCCACTGGTTGCTTGTTCAGTTCAAGATCAATTTCAAAATTCTGCTTCTTGCATTCAAATCTTTGAACAGCCAGTTACCTCTGTGTGAACTCCTCCATTACTACCACCCTCCTCGTGCTCTTAGGTCTGAAGATCAGCATCTCCTAACTAGGGTTGTCACGATACTAAAATTTTTGTTCTGTACTTTTGAACAACTCTGTTGGTCAATAAAGGGAGAAAAGGAATTTCTCCACAGTAGGACAAAGGTACATCTACCGGTAATCTTAATAAAAACAGATTGGCGCACGGCAGTGACGTCATTAAAAGTGCCGGTTAGATTATCCACAGCTAGTCTGTTCACGCCTAGAAATCCCAGACCCGCTCCAAACGAACAGGGGAATCATGTTAATGATTCCTAACAAAACCTTTCGACATTGAGATGTTTTGGTGCAGATAATGTCTTATTTCGAGGCTGCACCATGGGTGCCCGTCCGCACCCGCTAAAAGGATACACACTGATGGCGATTCGCTGATGGATCTAAATACCCCGGGGAATCCAAGTAGCACCAAAGTTGTCAGCGTGAGTAAACAAACGTACTGCATGCTAGAAATAAAGTGCGGGTTGCAATAAACGGGAGTTTCCTTTAAGCACATAAGCGTGAATATACAACTACGTGTCGGACTTGGTATGCTAATTAAGATGGGCTGTGAAGCGCCTCCCAAATTCGCTGTTTATGTTTTTGTTTATTTATTTGGCAGACAAAACTTGGATCGGAGACAACTCATGTAGGAAATTGCTATGTAGCCATGCGGCGTCTTCTTCTTCTGTTTGTCTGGGAGGCGGAGGCTGCTTTACGGCATCTGGCTGTCGTGCGTGTCGGTGTACTTGAAGAAGGCTGTGTATAATAGTCCATAATATCGATACCACAGGGATGGAATATCTAATTTAGATACCACTTTTAGCATCGATTTATATCTAGGTATCGATTTTTTTGACAACACTACTCCTAACTGTCCTTAAGGCACGTTTGAAGACCCGCGGGGAAAGGGCTTTTTCTGTCTGTGCCCCAAAATTGTGGAATAAAACTGAATCCCTCAGAGCACCACGGTTTAAACCGAGACTGGTTCTGTCCTAATGGGGGTGACCCCGCGAGGAAAGTTGACCATTGAGCAGGGTTTATGGTTTATCTCTTGGGTCCACATGGCAGGGGTGACGAGTGAGCACCACCTCACCTCCGCCACGTGGACCTCTAGAGATAAACCATTAATCCTGCTCAATGGTCAACTGTCCTCGCGGGGTCACCCATAAAGACAGTGGGAGGGTTAAAGGGATATTTACAACAACGCACGGCCACCTTGACCTCCTCTACTGGTGTGTGATGAGATGAGATGTTCTTCATTGAGCTCAGGGCTGGGACATTACTGAGCAGCAGCAGCATGACTTGTACGAGACACAAGACAAGAATATCTGTAGGTGGCATGACTCGGTGTTGCACTGGAAGCCCTGGTGTAAAAGGTGAAGAGTGAGCTACTGGTACCCAGCATCACCTGCAGCTTCTCACTCAGCAGCAGAGGCTCAGAGGTGTTAAAAGCTTCAGAGAAACCAAAGAATGCGATTCTCGTGGTTCCAACCGCTGCTGCTTTTCTGACTCGAGCAGACGTTTGCCACCAACTTGATGAGACAAAAATGATGCATGTAAAATATTATTGGTTGTAATTCGACAAAACTCTTCACAGGTAATAGAGAAGAGATATTTCACCAGAGATCCAAGTCAGGTGAGTGTTTTTTAACACATACTTTAATTTTTAAGAGAAACTAATTAAAAATGTCACTAAATCTAATGAACTTAACCCCCTAACCTTGTTTTTTTTTTTCCAGATGACGGGTTTCACAGACAGGAAGAGGTTCAACTTTAAAAGTTTGCACTATGACTGAAAGCCATGAATGCAACAGCGGTGACTACCGTTTACTTTTGCTTCTGGTTTTTTATTTTTGCACTCGTGCTAGTTAAAGGAAAAAACCAACCCCCTCCAGTTTGACTGTTTAAACTCAAACCGACTGAACCGACTCTGTAAATAGTTGATTAGCTCTTTACTGATCATTCACAAGGGAACATGAATGTTATGGGCGAAATGAAGAGTCATGGAAAGGTAAATTTATTTTAGATTAGATTGTGGAAAAACTTTTTTCACTCCTATGCAGAACATCATTATTTAGTCTCCAGTTGTTCATTTCTCCTCGTCTTGCTTTTATTTAATGAGCGTGTGCAGCGTTGCTTTAGTTCTCCATCGTCTTCTGGATCCAGGGAAGGTAGAAACCGACTTTAGCAAAGACATGTGGATACTTTGGATTATCACATTCATGTCCTCCAGAATCACCCTAAAGACAAAACAGGAGTTGATTGCACCAATTTTTTTACACAAATAAAACCAGCTTCCTCAGTGTTAGCTATTAGCAACACTTTCTGTTTGCAGTTGTCATGTTTTCATGCACTCACCTGGCATTTTCCTCCTGGTGTCTTGGTAAACTTGGTGCAAATCATCCGCAACACAGAGAAATGTTCTTTCCAGATGTTTTGGCACTCAGGGCTGAATTGCATCGTCTCCGCGGTTTCCTTGAGAATGTTTGAAGTCGGCGTTTTGGGTCCAGTTTAGCCCCAGCGTGCTGCAGCACATTTTACATTAACCGGTATCTTTCCATCTTTCTTTGGTAGGTCGGTGGTTTTGACATGCTTATCCAGCTTGGCGTTGGTTTTTAACTGTAATGAAAGAACACAAGTTGATGACATCATTGCTTTGTCATTTCTAATGCAACAGAGGTGTAAGATTAACGTTTTACAGCCACATCACCACTCACGCCTGTACAATGTGTTTTAAATGAATTTTACTGTAATTCTGCTTTAATTGAGCTTAAGTGAGAGAATAAAAACCAAAACAAAAAATGAGTCTTTTTTTGTTTGTTTCAATAAAGAGCTTTTTGGATGAATTAGTTTACCTTGAGCAGCATAACGTCATAGTCGAACTTTCCAGTGTAATTCGGATGCATGTAGTACTTAGTTACTTTGATCCACTGCTGCGTTTTCTCTTTCTTGCTGATGTCGTGCTCCAAGAACCACTGTCATGTCACGTCGATCAGGACTGAAAAACGCAAATAAAGGGTTGTTTTATTAAATGTCAATGTTAGTTTGGCTTTTGTTTCTAATTGTAAAATAATTGTTGTATGGAGTATAATCAGACTCGTTAATGTATGGAATTAAAGAGCAAGTCACCCCCAAATAAACTACTTTTTGCTGATAAACTAAATAAACGAGTGTCTAATTGTGCTGCAGACGTGTCGTCAATAATTTGGCACTTCAGTGCATCTTAGTTAAAATTTAAATATTCTGTCTAAAACTGGCAGTGTTGTGCCGTTGTCAGGTAAAAACTGCGCTGTATTTTAATTTAAATCTGCTACCGCTATTGGCTAAGAGGTATGCTATGATGTAAACTGGTACATTATGATGTCACAATGCTGTCGTGAGCCTGTGTGTGTGTGTGTGTGTGTGTGTGTGTGTATTTGTTAGCGGCTCCGCCCTCTCGGTCTGCCAGGCAACAACATTTGTTGCATTTTTCAAACATGAAGTGGGAGTGGAGTTAGACTCTGGTAGGGGGTGACTTGCTCTTTAAGTCTGGATTATGTCTCTCATTATGTGAAATCAGTTCTAGGCTTTCCAAAGTGTATCCGTGCGTGTGTGTGTCCCTACAGCCTTGTCTCTCATCACCCCTGAAGTCGTAAATATTCTGAACTGTTTCGGTCCCACGGTTCTGGGGTGACCTTTTTGACCTCCAGAGAAGTGGAGGAGGCAAAGGGGCTTATCCTGGAGAAAGTCCAGGTGCACCAGCTAATAGTTACAAAAACAGATCATGTACTCTTAAAACCGATAAGCCCACTAAACAAGCAAAAAGGAGAAGATTCACTGTTCCCCCGCCCTACAGAGAAGGCTGATAAGAAGGAGGGGCGACGCTGGGCTAATGTCAACAGCATGTAGAGAAGAAGAAGAGGAAAGCCTGCAGGAGGCGCTGAGGAGAAGAAACTAGTGAACGGATGAAGACCGGGAGAAGCAACGGTGACATCATGACATCCAAGATTTATGGTCTCTTTGGGGCCGTTGGAGAAGTAACGAAGAAGAGGAACACGTGACCAGGAAGTAGTGTACATGTAACCGGATTACAGGATACAATAAGATAATTAAAAGAAAAAATAAACAAATGGGCCAATAATTAGGTTCGGGGAGAATTGGAGGTTGTTTAAGAATGACTGGAGTCACGGGTATAGCATGAAACGGTTTATATACTAAATTTTAATAATAATGGGAAATATAACACATAAAGATAACACACAAAAACAGATGAAAACAATCGACAATAGTAAAATGGTCGGTATGAGATTTGATCATATGAGTCACAAGTCAGCCGGCGTCAAGTCAAATTCCCACGCTTGGGGTGAAAGTCAGAGTCCGGTGGTGCGATTTTTTCCTACCGCACCGTTGAGATTGTTCACAGAAGAGAGCAGTCTGCTCTTCAGTTACTTGAGATGTCCTGGTTCGTTCAGTGGTTAAGGCTCGCCATCTCCCTCGTCAGGAAGAAATCCAGTTCTCGTTCCAAGTGAGTGATCATAGGAGTCGGGATCAAACCCAAGGAAAAAAAAAAAAAACCCAGCCTGTAAACAACAGGACTGTTAGCGAGTTGGCATCGACCCTTCTCGTCACATCACAGCATAAAGTCTTACAGACTTAAACAAATGCTTCACTCTATTGGCATAGCCAATCATGTTTGGGTTCACAGTTCAACTAACATAACATCAATTTGATTGTCTATTAAAATAATTCTCAGTAGCTCTGGAAATATAATTACATATGACAACAATTGTTCAGCTCAATAGGCTCAGTTAGATTCTATTACTCTACACTATTCAACAAGAAATACATTCATGACAACAAGGATACATTTAGTTGTGTTTCTATACAGCATTGTGACACCTTGTATATCTGTAACACAATAAATAAATAAATAAATAAACAAATAAATAAATAAAATGTTCTATAACAAAATTTAACAAAATATAAATTCTGGTCCTTTGGTCCACCTTTGTAAAATAATTCTTCCCTAATCAGTTAGCTTTTATTTATTTTTATTTATCTATTTTTTTTATTATTAAATGTTTGGTTAAGGGACGCATTGCTAATTCTATGGCGTTAGCTATAACGCCCCTGAGGACCTTGTACATCTAGGCCGTACCACCGTTAACTGGCGGTTTGAGCCGTTAACTCCTGGGAATCCCATATGCCCTACCGCCGTTAACTGGCGGTTTGAGCCGTTAACTCCTATATGCCCTACCACCGTTAACTGGTAGTTTGAGATGTTAACTCCTGGGATCTAACGTCTAGCAGCCCACTGCTGTCACCTCGGTTGCTGTAATTAGCTTTTTGAATTTAATAATTTACTGAATTTAATCTCATTCACTCACCAACGCGCTCCAACGGTTCCCTCCTACAGAGGATTGGTTCACTCTGTCGTCTCCACACAAATCTATAAGAATGGAATTAATTTGATAAGCTATTTAAGTTTCCTTTTTTTTTTAAGTTGCATCGTTAGCTTTTTCTCTTCTTTTTCCTTTACTCACCGCGTTGGTTCCAAGTTCCTAGCTCTTATTAGAAGGAGTCAAGTCCGCCTCTCCCTCTATCTATGCGGCACCCAAATCAGGGTTCTTCACGGCCTCGACCGTTGTTTTTTTTCTCTCTCTCTCTCTCTCTAACCGCTCAGTCTTTGCTTTCTGTATCTGCGTGCTGCACAGCCGTTTGTCTCTCCTCTCGCTCAGCTGCGTCGCACGGTTTTATTTCGCGGAGGCGGGACTTATTTCTCTCAGCCAATGAAATTTCAGATTCCCACCTGGACCAATAGTATACAGCTTTCCTCTTCTGTTTCTGTTAGGGATGTTCAAGATTCTTGTTTTAACCGATGTTTAATATTAAACTCGTTATTTTAGTTATTCACCCTTCCAATAATTCATTATGAAATTATCTATTAGTTAATTAGATATCTATTAATTAGTATTGTTAATTTCCTTAATTTATATTTTATATTTTATCTAAATTGAGGATGGATCATATTAGTAAGCCAATTAGTTAATACCTCATTAAGGTTCTAGCTACTGGGTTACATCCTCCCCCATTAAATATCATGCACGTCCCTGTGCATTGTTTCTACGGGGTACACAACTTCTTGAGTAAGAGAGTCAATAAAAGCTTTATTAAGTCCTTGGAAAAGGGACCTAACTACGGTCACTAGTGGATTGCCCAATTGAGAGTAAGTTAGTCTTTGAGGAGGCTGACTACTTCGTTCAGATCTCCTGACATACATCTCTGGTTGCACAGTATCATGCTCATCCGTTTCGGTTTGATTCTCAACTGAGACAGGACGAAGTGAGCTCTCTGTTTCCGACAGAGCTGATGAGCTATTCTCTAAGACTTTGGTCTTTTCAGATGTATGTGTCTGATCGTGTATGATGGGTTCAAAACTTACATCACGTTGCTGCGACTTTAGGACACCATCCAATTGAGGTAGGTTTGTGTTAGTTTCATCCCCCGTTTCTACGTCAGGTAAGTATACTTCGTTTTTTTTCGTTTTTTCAGGTAAGTATGTTGCTGCTTCTTTCACTCTTTCAGGTAAGAATGTCGCAGTTTCACTCATTCTGTCAGGTAAGAATGTTTCGGTGTTGATGCCTTTGTCAAGTAAGGACAATTCAGCATTTTCATTACCAGCTAAGGTTGGTTCCTTGCGATCCCCTGTGTGTAAGGATAGTGTGTTTTGTTGTTGAATATTATTTACCGGTCCTGAATCTGCTATGAGTTCCCTATTTGGCAAGGTGACCGCTATTTGATAGGATGGTCGGTTTAGCACTTGTGGAAGATCAGAGTAATAAAACTCATCTACCTCTTCGTCAAGTGGCTCATCTGGGTCAGGTTCTAAGGCTGAACTCTGTCTTGTATGAGGTCTGCTAGGTTTCGTAACGCGTTCTGTTTCATTTTCTAATGAAGAGAGAAAACCACAAGGCAGTAAAAGATCTCTGTGGAGTGTTCTGTTGGGTCCTTCTCCGTTCTCTGGTTTTACAGTGTATACTGGCAAGTTTTCCATCTGTTTGAGAACTATATACACTGTTTGCTCCCATTTGTCTGCTAATTTATGCTTTTCTCTTAAGCGAAGATTTCGGACTAAAACACGATCTCCCACACCTAGTGTGGACTCACGAATGTTTCTGTCGAACCGTTCTTTGTTCTTCCTCGCTGTTTTTTGAGAGTTTTTTATGACAATGTCATAACTCTGTTCCAGATGACTCTTCAGTTCTTTAACATACTGAGAATGAGTTATAGAGGGCTTGTTCAAATGCGGTAACCCAAAGGCAATATCTATAGGCAACCGAGGCTGCCTACCGAACATTAGCTCGTAGGGAGAGTATCCCGTCACGTCATTTTTTGTACAATTGTACGAGTGAGTAAGTGGTTTTACAAAATCGCGCCAGTGATGTTTCTCAGTGGCTTGTAAAGTTCCCAACATGCTGAGTAATGTACGATTGTACCGTTCAACGGGGTTGCCACGAGGGTGATAAGGGCTCGTTCTGACTTTACGGATACCAAGTAAAGAACAAAGTTCCTTGATTGTACGTGATTCGAAATCCCGTCCCTGATCACTATGAAGACGCTCAGGAAACCCGTAGTGGACTAAAAAATGTTCCCACAGGTTCTTCGCGACGGTGGTGGCTTTCTGATCTTTGGTTGGGATGGACACTGCATACTTTGTAAAATGGTCTGTAATCACTAAGACATCTTTAGTGTTCTTACTGTCTGGTTCTATGGAGAGAAAATCCATGCAAACTAACTCCATAGGTCTGGTGGTGGTAATACTCACC